TGTTGCAACCCTGGCTCTTCTCGCCCTTGTATCCGACATCACCTGACCAACAACTCCGCTCACTACAGCTACGACCACCACACTGAGGACCTAAACATCTGGACCAGGGGCTGCCGTGAGGCCCTGGTGTCCTACTATGGGGGCATGATGAACAGTATTGGTGCTTTTGTGCTGCTGTTCATTATTATGCAGGTGGGTGGGTGAGAGGGAATGGAATCCAAAGTTGAACACAGCTACCTCACGGCATTTGACTTTGTCACTAGATTACACTCTTGGTGGGTAACGAGTGTGCTGCTAGATTATAAAGTGAGCCGCTAGATTATTAGGTCAGTTGGTGCGTAAAGAGTAATATAAATAGGTCTGAAAGCATCAGATTAATTATCTGCTTAATTGATTTGATTAACACTTTGTGTTGATGGCATGACAAGATATAGGTGACAAGCAAATGAGAAGTTGACAAATAACAAGAACTTGGCATATTCACATTTTCCTTTAACAGAACTTGTCTACATTACTACTACTACCTTCAAAAACACTGAAACTCTATATTCATGCATACACAGTTTAGTAGATGGGCACAGCAAACCTTCAATCTGTTATTGATTGCATAATGTGACACAACACCTAATGTGCAAAAAAAAAGGTGGTCCAAGAGGTTTATCCTTAGCTTGAACCGAAGGTGTAAATCCTAAGATCTTGTTGCCAAACTGGATATTTCCTGGAACTCATGTGGGTCAAAACATCAGAAGCACACAACAATGATGCTGTATTGAGCATGTGTGGAATTTCTAGACATTCATTAACCTAAGAAAACCCTCTTGTCGGCATATATATATTCCAAAGACGTAATCACTTCCAAATAGAAACATATATTTGTGAAGCTTGTTTAGTTCTACTGTGAAATGAATATAAGATCATCTGAATTGTTTGCCACAGGCTGTCGTGACTGTTGGTTTGCAGTACCTGAGCACCTCACTGGAAACCCTGGCAGACCCAGAGAATCCTGAGAGCGAAAGTGAGGGATGGCTGCTGGAAACGAGTGTGAAGGAGACACTTTCTGACATCATGACGAAGATCACGTCGCTGTTTAAAGGCAACCAGGTACAGGAGGGAGATGCAGAAGCGGCTCCCACATAAAGCTGAGAGAGTCATGCCCCCTCCCACCCCATCATGTCTGTGGCCACTCCCACCTTTGGGAGAAGGAATGCATGAAAGGTTGATTAAAATGTTCTCTCTTATATGCATACATATGGGATCAGTACACCTACATTTGTACTACATAATGAGATTCCAATTGATGTGAATGTACACACTACAATGTAAATACAAATAAAATGTAAGTTTATTTTTTTATATTTTAAGAATGAAATATATCTGTAAATGTTCTGATATTATCATCTAACCATATCTGATATTCCGACCAAATAAGCATCACTGTCCATGTCCGTCTGTAGCAGTATAAAGTTTGATCCTTATATTTCCAGTTCATTGGTTAAGCGGATGTTTAACCCGACAGCCTCACACAACAATAACACATTTCACCATAAAGCCATCAGGCGCTATTAAATCACTTTTCAGTAAGAGATCACTTTTCTTGAAGGGGTCACACAGCAGCTTTTAACCGGCAGCTGAGGAAAATGTGTTTTTGTAAACGTTCAGTCAGCTCCCAGACCTTAAAGGGATGGAAACAGTGGCACACCTTGCTTTTTTACACAACGCTGCCTTTAACAGGCCTTAGGTTGTGCAGTATAAAGTTTGATCCTTATATTTCCAGTTCATTGGTTAAGCGGATGTTTAACCCGACAGCCTCACACAACAATAACACATTTCACCATAAAGCCATCAGGCGCTATTAAATCACTTTTCAGTAAGAGATCACTTTTCTTGAAGGGGTCACACAGCAGCTTTTAACCGGCAGCTGAGGAAAATGTGTTTTTGTAAACGTTCAGTCAGCTCCCAGACCTTAAAGGGATGGAAACAGTGGCACACCTTGCTTTTTTACACAACGCTGCCTTTAACAAGCCTTAGGTTGTCTGACGATATTCAAAAGCATGTTGATGGTGATCTACTGGAGAGCAGAACTCTGTAACAATGGGGAAACTATTCTGTAACAACAGAATATTGTACTCAACATGTTCACCATTAATGTGTGTAGTTCTCGGGTTAAATATCTGCCTAACAAACAGGCTTTGTGCTTCAACTTCAGTGCTCTGTAGGGCATACAGTTGTGGGACAATTAACTTGTAAAAGATTTTAGTCAGTTGTGTGTGATTTGTTAATCTAAGTCAGACAACACGCTTCCTTTAACAGGCCTTAGGTTGTCTGACGATCTTCAAAAGCATGTTGATGGTGATCTACTGGAGAGCAGAACTCTGTAACAATGGGGAAACTATTCTGTAACAACAGAATATTCATTATTCATCATTCATCATTCATCATTAATGTGTGTAGTTCTCGGGTTAAATATCTGCCTAACAAACAGGCTTTGTGCTTCAACTTCAGTGCTCTGTAGGGCATACAGTTGTGGGACAATTAACTTGTAAAAGATTTTAGTCAGTTGTGTGTGATTTGTTAATCTAAGTCAGACAACCCAATCAGTTGTATTCTTTTTCTTTTTCATATCATTTGTGTGAATTCTTAATTTTCACAGGCAACTCTTTCTGTATATTTGACCTATGTCAGTTTTTGTGGATTGAGCGGATCATGTAGGAAACTCCATTTGTGAGATAAAGATGTTTAATTAGATTCAGTGTTCATCAGTTATTTTTCACAATATACTGTATATATGTGCGTACTCACGGTTCCTAACACACACCTTGCCCTGAACAGATGTGACTCTTTGTTTCTGTTTTACTGGTATTTACTTTGGTGTTTAAAAGACTTAAAAGACTATTTAAAAGACTTACATATGAGGGGTGAAAGTGGGGTAAAGGTAATGTTTGGACAGCAGAGGCCCAGCGGGACACAGCTTTACCTGATTGGATGAAGAGAAGGAAATGGATTTCTCTAAATGAGGCTTTTGTCCTGCTCAGAACAGCTGAATACCCATCCTCAGAATACCTTTGGACAAAAAAACAACATTAACACAAATGTTTTTCAACATTAATATTTTAGTTAGCATGTATAAATATGTATAAGGGAATATGTATTATTTAGAAACATTGTTTACTCACCCTCATGTTGTTCCAAACCTGTATGAGTTTCTTTCTTATGTTGAACATACAAGATATTTTGAAGAATGCTGGTAATCAAACAGTTGAAGGTTGCCATTGACTTCCATAGTATTTCTTTTCCTTCTATGGAAGTCAGTGGGGACCAACAACTGTTTGGTTCTTCAAAATTGTTCAAAATATCTTTTGTGTTCAACATAAGAAAGAAACTTATATTGGTTTGGAACGACAGGAGGGTGAGTAAATGATGACAACATTTTCATTTTTGGGTAAACTATTCCTCTCATTAAAATTCTTGTTAAAACATTATTTTCCCGTTTGGAGAAAATGAATGGAGTTTGGGAACCCGATGGTTGCACTCTTATATGCATGCGTAAATGTCACGAAACCTGTCTAGAATGCTACAATTAAAAACCCAATCAAGATGCCTAATTTTATTTTATTTTAAGAACTGTTTATTTATTGCATTGAGACTTTGTTTTCATCATAATTCCACACAAATACTCAATACAGTAAAATCAATCCAGCCATCCAGGAGAAATTAATGGACTTCATTTGATAGTAATTATACTTAACACTAATACTAACTTAATATTAAAGTTAAGTAAAATGAAAATGAATTAGGGTGAAAACGTCTAACTTTGGGTACAGGTAGTGAGCGCTAACAGGACATGTGTCATCTGGTATTTTCTCCAGCCCTGAAGTCCATAAACAGTTACTGGCTGGATAAGAGCAGCTAATCGGCTTTGTGGAGCAGCTTACCTCAGGTGAAGCTCTGGGACAGGTGCGTCTCACACAGGAGCAGAAAACAAGCACTGCTGGAGCATTGTGAGCACCCCAGTCTCTTGTACAAGAAGTTGTTCTTGAACTTCCTAAGATTAACACCAAAAGCGACCCAAACGATTTATGACACAAACGCAACCGTCAATTTTCTGAACTAAACGACAGTGTTTGACGGGTAGCAAAGGAACTGTGTCCGTTTTAGGTAAATTTAGACCTTCACAATCTAAAGTTATAATATGCATAAATGAAATTACCTTTGTCAGCTGCAGCCAGCATTTCATCTCGCTATTCAGCCGAGGAAGTCAAAACACATAATGCGGGAAAAAGGTCAAATACAGGAGCAGCGGCGTCATTGTCATCGGTAGATTTTGAATGCCGAACATTCTTTATCAGTACATTTATTTAAACATGAGATTAAACGAGATTAAAGATGCAACGTTAAATGTTATTCTATGAGAATATAGAAGTTCACAACACAACTAATTATAACAACACAGAGGAACGATTTTAGAACTTTTTTCCCCCAGCCGATTAACCGTAGGCTACTACACTAACGGTCATGCAAAATCTGACTAACGTTACTGAAAGCGTGGAAGCGAATCGAGTAACTTAGTAGCCAAGTGCAATGTTTTTTTTCCGCGTAATTGGGCAACATTTAAACTGTTGCCGCAGGTTTGGCATACAGCGTGCATTATATTTGACTGAAATGCTTGAATTGCAATGTTACCCAATTTACATTCTACCAAGATGTTACGTTTTGTGAGGAAGGGGTACTGGATGTAAGATTATTACTAGTCTATTGGTTTTCAAGTTAAATTGTGTTATGCACAATGTAACGCAGTGTTGAAATGTTGTTGCCCAGAGAGAAAAACGTGTAGAGCTCGAGGAAATGATGCAGGTGAGGCGAGAGCTGGCTTATTTTTCCCGGGTTTAATAAAACGACTTAAACATCGTCCGTCACACTCATCCACATACATGGGGGGTGGAGTGAGAGAATGGATACAAATAATCATTCAACTTAGGTCACAAACAAAAACAGGAAAATAAAAGGAAAAGAGTACAAGGTCGGTAGAGCGGTTATCTGTTCTCCTGCTCACCTTTTTCATTCTCTTCCAGACAGGGTTGCCAGGTTTTCACAACAAAATCCACCCACTTGCTACTCAAAACTAGCCCAATCGCGTTGCGGGGGGTAAAATACACGTTTTTTGGCAGGGTTACCTTGGTAAAATTCGCATTCCAGGGGCTAAATATCTCGTTATTGGGGTCGCTTCAACCCGCTGACATGAAAAACAACCCGCGGCAACCGTGTTAAAGTAGCTCAATTCCGCAGGAAAACCACGGACTTGGCAACACTGCTTCCAGACGAGCACATTCTATGCACATGCGCAGTTCTCATTCTACCTCGAATTACCGTAAATGCTCTAAGTGACAGTTACAATAACAGTTACTGTGAAATTTTTGCAAAAGTTTTGTAAATCAGGTCTGGCAACCCTGATTAATATAGCGATCGTTCCTGATGTGAACGCGCGAACATCCTTTGCTCGCCCAAATAGATCATTGTGTGTTGGTGAAATATATGCAGACAATAACCAGAATAAACAATTATACCACCAAAAATTAATTCAGTAGTTCACAATTTATAGTTTCAGTTCGAACACAATTACTTTTGAGGAACTGACTTAGTCAAAACCTGGTCCAAGACTCCGCAACTCTATGTAGTCAGTGAGCTGGACAGATCTAATCCTCTTTATTGCAGCGTTCCTGGATGAACAAGAGATTTGGATAGAACTGGAGCACAGTTAAGAAGAATTGTAGCCAGCAAAATGGGTCACACATTAGCTTGCATGAGGCCACTAAGCCTACCTGTTCTGGAACACACAGAACAGTTACTTTACAGCATAAAAACACTGATGGGTAATCAGCTCATTCATCAATATATTTTATGCAAAACACAACGTTTTTTTCTCTTTTTTATTTCATTAATGTTTTACAATATAGTACAATGTACCCATTTATACAAGAATTCACATATTAACAAATCAGTTTGTGATGTAATACACTGCTGCAGCCACTGGAAGTGTCTCAGGAAATATGCTCACCGCATTAGAAACAAGCTTTTCATCTGAATTGCGCGAGACATGAAAACTTGTTTCTGAAAGAAGCAACGGTGTGTTTCAATGCGTTTCTGCGTCACTGACAAATAAAAGTTTTGATTTGGACTAAAGCCCCAAGCCAAGGCCACTATAAAGAAAAGACAACAGTCTAAAGCGGACCAAAGTCGAAAATGAATTAAGGATATGCAATTCTGCATCCATTACTGCTGAGAAAATGTGCAGCAGTATCAAGAAACAAAATGTCCAAAATCACAACACACGGCACACACGTCAAAATCATGTTTAAGAGTGGAATTCATGTTCAGTTCGTGGAAAGCATGATTCGCATGGAACACACAGCCGCAAGAAACACATAAATAATACGCATCACAAAAGAACGAGAAACAAACGGTCATAAAAATGGACCACCTTAGAAATCCATCATATTAGAAACATACCAACTAAACACCTGTACGTAAAAACTCACTCGCGCAAACACATACACATCCCAGACAAACAGAAACCAGGCATTCAAGGACATATTCATGTGCTCCCGGATCTTCCCCGCGTTGGCTTGTATTGTATGAACATGAGAACGTTAATCAAGTGGCCTTAACAAATGTACTGCAGCATTCGAGATGACGGGGGCAGAGAGGATGCTGTGCATCCTACAGGTGGCGCTATCCCCGCATGGGCGTTGAGGGACATTTGTGCTTACTTGAAGGGCAGCACCACCGGTCAATTCCCAAGCGATAAGAGAACTGTCTTGCGAAACCTATATATTTAAACAAAATACCTTGAATTTAATTGAATATTACTTGGAGAAGAAATTAAATAGCATTCCTATGAAGAATATCTGTGTTGCGAAGGAACCCATATTGTTTGGGTTCAATACCTTGGCTATATGTCTTTTTAAATATGTATTTATATCATATTTAAAAGAAAATGGGAAGAGAAAAATCTCCCCCCAAAAAAACCCCCGAAAGTCATGCATTCATCCACTGTCAGAAAGATGGAGAAAGGGGTGGAGGAAGAGCAAGAGGCCATGGTGACACCTTGGCAACCTCTAGCTCTGCTGTGCGGGTCCCCTTATGTATTAAGGGTGGGCGAAGGTGTGAGAAAGCATCACGTGACTTCACAGGTGCTGCCAGTCGATGCCCACCAAAGTCTGATTGGCCTCCTGAGCATGGCCGATCTCCTCTGTGATGCTATGCTGGCGCCACAGCTTCTGGATCTTCCTGTAGCGCTCTTGGCACAAGTGTAATGGGTTTCCCCGTCTAAAAAAATGACAAAACACAACACTTGATATCACACGACGGTCAGAAATAAGCATGTGCGTGAAATATCAGAGATAGAGGCGTACCTTAGCCCTTGGTCGGTTTCCCCATAGTCGTCCAGGTATGGGGGAGCATAAAAACAGCCCTTAGTTTTGCCAGCCAGGAACAGGACCTGACTTTCCCGCACCCTGACAGAAACATATACAAATGAAACCCTTCTGACAACAACAACGCAAAAATCCACAAGGTTGAGATGCAGTGATTTGACCACAGTTGAAGAGCATGACAAAGTGATTGTCTAAAATAATCAATGCTAACACCACTGTAACTGTAATGCATTTATGAAACAGCAGCAACAGCAATATGACCAATGTTCAATAAATAAAGCCTACTTTGAAAAGAACTGGTGTGGGATTTACATTAGCCGGGTTTCCATCCAAAGTTGCGAATTTAACTTATGCGCAAAACTGGAATATCGCATAAAACTTTTGCGAACAAGCATCGTTTCCATCCAACAAGTCAAAGAGAACAAAATCGTCACTCCTGGATAAACTGGCACTATAAATCACTAAGAAAAGTAGGAGAATATAATAATTTTCATATATACAATGAATGCGTGTCCTGACATTTTATCCTACCCGTCAGATACGGACGTGGATGCTGCTGTTTGGGAACGCAGTCGTGTAAGACATTTCTGGGAGGCAATTATACAGAAATACTTTGATGACAGACGTTGTTCGTGCATTTCCGAATGACCATAACAACATTTCAGATGCAGTGGAATGAGATCGGTCCGCTGGTTAGTCAGGTTTTGCCGTCCCATAGCGCAAAGTCACATGACTTTTTTGATGCGCTTGGAGGAATTTATTTGCAAAATGCATTTCTATCTCCCATTATTTGCATAAACCCTTTTTCGCAAAAGTCAAAAACCACCTCAAGCGAGCGTAAAAACTTTTTTGCGAATTAAGGGATTTTTATTCGAAATTTGGCGTTTCCATCACTCATTTCTCATGCGATACTTCAAAATGTGCATTAAAATAGGGTGATGAAACATAGCTATTGATACTTTACATTGCTAGTAAATTTGGAAACACTTTACAAAAAGGTTCGATTTGTTAACATTAGTTACCTACATTAGTTAACAAACTTACAATGAAAAATACTTTTAAAGCATTTATTACCTGTAGTTAATGCTGATTACAACATGACTAATACATTATTAAAATCAAAGGTTGTATCTATAAATGTTACTCAATGGACGTGAGCTAGCATGGACTAACAAAGAACAGATACATTTTTATTAACTAACATTTAAAAAAGATTAATAAATACTGTAAAAATGTATTGCTCATTGTTTAAGTTGGTTAATGCGTTACATATCATAACAAATGAAACCTTACTGTAAAGAGTGACAGTGAATTTTCACAAAGAAACTCCAAGTAGCACTGAATTTTTAAAATAAAAATTTTCTTGTAAAATGTAGTCCAATAATCTTATTTACAATTTAGAAAAATCATTCTTAGAGTGTATTATTGTTTGCGATAATATCGTAATTGTTGTTTTAGCGATATGCGATTTGACATTAGAGTATTTTGCAAAAACCATTCAAAACACACCTACAGGGTGCACGCTTACATTACGTGAAGTCTAGACTAGTCAACGAAGACGAAAAATATTCGTTAACGAACATTTTTTCTGTGACTAAGACGAGACGTTGATGAGCTAAAACTAATAACTGATGATAAAACTATGACGAAATATATGCCGCGTCTTTCCACTTCTTCAGTTCTCATATACAGCGCGCGATCAGTTCTCAGTGCTCAAATACAAACACAGCAGTCCAAATGTCAATCGTGTAGAGTATCAGGTAAATA